GATGACACTCTAGTTTTATCAACAACCCCTTCTGATTTATCTAATTAATATGAAAGAACCAAATATGCAATTCTGCCCTGCACACTAGATTGTGTTACGTGCTTACCGACTTACTAGCAAGTACAAAACTATTAATCTGACTATTTGACAGGGATTTTCGGGATTTCCCTTGTTTATCCCCATTGTACCAGGAAGGTCACAATCACCTTTTCCTCGTCCTGTACCCAAATCTGGGACATTCCAAAAATGGAGCCGGAGATCTAGTTAACCCAGAAGGTTTTGTTTGCCCTCCTTCCCCAAAGCGTTAGTCAAAGGTCTTATTCCCCACACTAAAACCTAGGCCAACAGTGCTGCTCTATTACTAGCCAATATATGACCCATTAAATACACTTTGTCCCTTACCACCTTCCACGGCGTAAGCTCATGTTCCCTTCCTCACAGGGATGAGTAGGCCTCTGCCCCTCCTTGCCCTCAGGGTGTTCATCTTGGGTTCATCCACTCTCCTCACACAAAAAGTGCATTTGGTGGGTGGGGCCCATCCCCATATTTCTCTCTCCACCGACAGCTCGTCAGCCCAAGGGCAGTCTGTTGAGCTATCCCCCCCACCTACACCCTCTTGGCTTGTTGCCAAGGTCTTTTCTCACCCCTCCTGGTTATCCAGGGCCTGTGTTTCATCCATCCCTCCAAGTATCCTATGGTGCAGCCTCCTCCTGAGAGGCCCGGGATAAGGGCTCTGATAAGTGTGTGACTTAATTCACCTTTGTTTTCTTTCTCTTCTTGCTCTGTGTCTCCGGGGACGTCTCCTTCCTTACCATCTCAGTGGCTTGCAAGAGCATGTCTAGGTTCCTCCAGCCCCTCTACATTCCTTTCCTCTTTACCTTGCCCAGTGGGTTTTGTTTCCAGCCTCTAGGGCCCTTGTACCCCACTTTGCTTCCCTTGTTGTGAAGGGATCTCCATCCAGTATATGGAGATGGGGCAATCCATCCACTACACCTACGCCTTTCCCCCGAACGGCCTCTTGACGCCCGAGGGCACCTTGGCCATGGGACGGAATTTCTTGTCCCCGTCTACACATTTGATTTTGACCCTAGCTCCAGGAAGCATCCAGTGGGGATTCCTCAGCACTCACCCGATTGGCCAACAGGAGGGGGCAGTGCTCACTACACCTCGTTTAGTGCCTTCTCCCTACCGTTACCGAGAGAGCAGGGACTTTCTTCTCCCTGCCTCGGGGTCTCAGCCCAACCACTGAACAGTGCAAACCCACAGGACAGTCGCTTTTTATATGTCCTTCAGGTACATACTGAAAACACCCTACGGCTTGAGCACCTCAGGGCTCCATCCTCTTTCTCTCCTCGGTGCCCTTTCCGGCCATAGACTCTCCTCCACTCCTTCTCCCCAGCTTCAGTTCAAACTAATCATTGGCAAGGAGGGGTTGGACCTGCTGCCTCTGCCTACCCTTGGGCTGCCCCTCTGCAACCCCAGTACCCTTTCCAGCCTTTAGCAAGGCCTGCAGCCCGGGGGCTTTCCAGGCTGGAGCTCTCCCAGCTCCTCTGGCCTTCCCCCAGCCCTGCTCCACTTTAGGTACCCTGCTCAGCTCCCAGCAGCCAGGCCCTTCTCCCTCAGGAGATAGAGGGAAAGTGTGTCCTGCTCCTGGCCCACTGCCTTCTTATATGGGCCAGCTGGGCCCTGATCGGGGTGTGTCCCCAGCTGAGGCTGCTTCCGCAGTCAGCCTTTCCTCAGCCGCAGCCCTCCCCAGGGCTGCTTTTAAGCCCTCCAGGCCGGAGCGGGATGACCGCTCCGTTACAAGTGCCTTGAACATCTGACTCACGCTGGGAAGGCCCAGCCCTGCAAACACATCTAGTCCGTTTAACTGCAGCATGCAGATTGACTAGCTGATGCCTCCTAACCCATCTATTGTCAGGAAGACGTTGCCAAAACTGTTCCCGATCACAGAGTCCATAGTCTGCCCCCCAGTTTGGGGATCTGGCCTTTCCAGACTGGGCCACAGTTTAGTTTCTGTGCAAACACATGGGGCCATATTCCCCCATCTTGCCATGCTAAATTGCTGGTGATATTTTCCCTCCTTGGACAAGCCAACCTGGTCCAGGACAGCTGCCTTAAGCACACCAGAGTCTCTTGCATGAAGATCACAGGGAGACACGTATGCTGCCTCTGCTGCCCAGTTACATAGGGTGTTGCCAAAGAACTCACATTGTTCTGTCCCAGCCAGCTCCAAAGGCTGGTATCGAAAGTAACCAAGAACACACCAGGGTCACCTGCAGGCCCGCACCTTTGTGAGCTGGCCCCGGTACCCATGTCCATTGCAGGACTCACCAAACTTTGCAGGAGTCGGTGCTGTACGTGGGCTTGTTCCCTTATAGATTCCTGCAGGCTCTGTAGCTGCTCCACTGACCAGGCTGGCAGGAGCTGTGTCTCCCGGTGGTAGGACTGCTGGAAGTCCTGCTGGGTCTTCTCCATCACCTTCTGCTGTTCTCTGGGCCTTTGTAATGGCTCCTCCGGGGCCCAGACTCCAACCCTTTCCACTGGCTCTTCACCAGCGCAGATAAGGCAGCTCCTCGCCCACCCCTTAGCCTTGAATGCTGCCTTCCTCTGCCTGAGAATGGGCTAATTCGCTCATCAGCTTCCTACCGATGGTGTGGCTCAGTAACCAGGTGCACCCAGACCCACAAGTACGAACGGTGACCCGAGAGCTTGCTCTGGTGCCAGCTCTCAGCACTGTCACAGGCTCCACAGTGCTTTTGAAAAACCCCGTTAGGCACCCAAATACCTTTACAAGTGTGGCCCTAAGGGACTTAGCAGCCTAATTTACACTTCAGTTCGGTGCCTCTGCAGAGCGTATCACATGCCTGCTTCCAAATGTAACCTGTCCACTAAGGAGACATCTTGGTGAGAGATCCAGAGAGGGGAAGGGGAGAATCTCTCTGGCAATGGGCGACAGGGGGTGGATCGCTCGGTGATTCCCTGGTCTGTCCATTCCCTCTGGGGCACCTGGCATTGGCCACTGTCGGAGACAGGATACTGGGCTACATGGACCTTTGGTCTGTCCCAGTCTGGCCCTTCTTATGTTTCCTACGAGCCCTGCTGTTAAACAAAACCAACACATGCATATTCCAATAACCCAGTATGGCCATGCAGTAACTAGCTCAATTACCAGGTCCCATACAGTATTAATAAACTATTACTGATCAACCCCATGACTTTCCCATGGTGGTTCAGTGGGCTGATGGAAGACTGACCTCGCTAGAGGGTGCAGAGTTAATGGTGCAGTGCCTGCTCAGCTGTGAACAGTAGTTGCGGTCATGGTAAAGCATTGTGCTTGGTACTTGCTAAGTGGCTAACTTTTCATTTCCTTGGTTTTATGGGCCAGGTATCTTGTGTGCGTGTACAAATTGGAATGGCTTCTTTTTGCATCGTGTAAGGTTTTTAATGCTTTATTGGAGCTGAAGAGTTAGACAAAAGGAGACAGTGATGGGCAGAGATCCATCAGTTATTAGAAGCATAGTTGCTGACTGAGAATATTTTATCCATTATCAACAGCTGTGGGCCCTGGTTTGTGTGCATGACCATTAATTTATAATATGGCTAACAATTAAAAATAACCCTAAATCCAGTATGTAGATAGCCAAAAAGCTACTCACCGAATCAGATGTACTCTAGATGGGTGATACCTTTGAGGAGAGTGACAGTGGCCAAAGAAAACCCAACCCAAAGACTTCCTATTACAAAGGCATGAAGAAACCACAACGATTATATTGAAAATTAACGTAAACTCCAAAAGGCCCTAGCTCAGCCAATCACGTATGGAAGGAATTTCAAAGAAACCTGAGTTGGCTTCCCAACGCCCCTGAATTTCAGTTTCCAATCCTCAGGTTTAGCAATTTCTTTACTCAGGACACATGAGTATTCCCATTCAACTTAAACTGGGGAAAGCACATGCTTATTCGTAAGAACGTGCTTAAATGCTTTGCTGAATGGAGATGGCACTATGTACTATCTTAAAATTAAGCCTGGGTTTAAGTGTTGTGAGGAACAGAAACGGAAGTGGAAGTAGAAGCAGGCAAGTGATATGACCAATGTACATGGCATTGATGAGACCAACACTGAAATACTGTGCCCGGCATATTTTAAAAGATTTTGAAAAAATGGTGAGGGTACAGAGAAGAACCACAAAAATCATTCATGTCCCAGGGAAAAAAAGATACCTGAGAGTGAGAGATTTAAAGAGATTGGTCCGTTAGGATTATCAACACAAAAATTGAGATGTGTCTTAATTATGATGTAGAAATACCTTCACCAGGAGAAAATATCAGGAATATCAGAAAGTTAAAGCAACGACAAGAAAAATCAAATGAGAAATATGGTACAAATTTTGAACATTGAGGGTGATTAACCAAATACCAAAGGGGATGATGGATTCTCCATCTCTTGATGTCTTCAGATCAGGACTGGATGCCTTTCTGGAAGATGGTTCAGCCAAACACAATTTATTCAGTTCAGTCCAGGAGTGACTCGGTGAAATTTTCTGGTCTGTAATATACAGGAGTTCAAACTAGTGGATCTAATGGCTTTGAAATCTGTGGCTCTGGGAACTCCTGAATTCACAAAGTTAAGCAAATACTTCAATGCTTTGCTGAATCAAGAGAGAACTGCACTCCTGGACTTAAAATTAAGCATGAGTTAGTGATTTTTCACTTAGTGTTGTGATTGTTTGCTTGGTCTCATAATTACCGGTCTTGAGAACCACTCAAATTCCTCTCACCCTGGTTTAGAGATATACTAAATGACCAGCAGTGGTTAAAACATCCCATTAGGCCAGTTGCTCTCAACCTTTCCAGACGACTGTACCCCTTTCAGGAGGCTGATTTGTCTTGTGTACCCCCAAGTTTTACCTCACTTAAAAACTACTTGCTTACAAAATCAGACATAAAAATACAAAAGTGTCACAGTCACACTATTATCTCTGGTTGAGAACCACTGCATTAGGGGATAAACTTTTTGTAGAACAGGAAGACCTTGTTCTGGGCTACGGCCTCCTTCAGGGCTTGTTTGACCTGCTTGTTCCTGAGGGTGTAGATGAAGGGGTTGAGGGATGGTGTCACCACGGAGGTCAGCAAGGCCACCACCTTGTTGAGCTCCAAGGAGCTGCTTTCAATGGGACGGACATGCATGAAGATGTGGGTGCTGTAGACGATGCTCACCACTGTGATGTGAGAGGTGCAGGTGGAGAAGGCCTTTTGCCTGCCCTGAGCCATGGGGGTCCTGAGCACCGTGGTGATGATGTACGTGTAGGACACTGCAGTCACCACCAAGGAGTTCAGGATAAGCACTGACGCCATGATGAAAATGGCTGACTCCAGGACATGGGTGTCCTTGCAGGATAACTTAACCAGTGCTGTAAGGTCACAGAAGAAGTGGTTGACCACATTGGGGCCACAGTAGGGTACCTCGGCGACAGCACTGAGTGGTCCAAGGATATACAAGAAGGCCCCAGTCCAGGCCCCAAAGACCAGCACGAAGCAGACGTGACTGTTCATGATGACTGTGTATCTCAATGGGTTACAGATGGCAACATAACGGTCAAAGGACATGACGGCCAGAAGGAGGAACTCCGTCACCACCAGAAAGAAGTAGAAGAAGCTTTGTATCATGCAGCTGGTGAAGGAGATGATCCTGCTCCCAAAGAGCAAACTGGAGAGGAGCTTGGGCACCGTGACTGAAGTGAACCAGATCTCCATGAAGGAGAAGTTCCACAGGAAGAAATACATGGGGGTTCGGAGCTGGTAGTCGGCCAAGGTGATGGTGATGATGACTAGGTTGCCTGAGAGGGTGACCAGGTAGAACATGAGGAAGAGGACAAAGAGGAAGATTTCCATCTGGCGGCTGAGGGGAAATCCCATTAGGATAAACTCGGTCACTCTGCTCTCGTTGCTTATTTTTACCACTTCTTGGTGTGGAATATAATGTCTGCAAAAAAGGAAAAAATGTGGTAACCAAGAGAGAGATACCCATTGTGCTAGGTGCTGTACATACACACAGCCACTGGATGCCTGACCCAGCAATGATTTATGCATGTGTTTAACTCTACACACTGAGTAATCTTATTGCATCCAGAGTCAGGGACCTCTGGTGAGAAATGAAGTCCTGTAGGAAATTACCAGCTCAATTCTCAACTGTCTGAAATAGATCAAGAAGAGTTTTCATAATTTTGGAGACGGTTCAGAGAAGAGCCGTGGTCATGAATAAAGGACTGAAAGATGTGCCGTAGAGGGATAGACTCTGAGAGTTCAATTGTTCGTTTTAACAAAGAGAAAGTGAAGGGGTGACTTGATCACAGTGTATAAGTACCTACCTGGGGAACAGAAATTTGATGATGAGTTCTTCTGCCTTGATGACAAAGGTAATGGGTGGAAGTTAAGCTGCCCAAATTCAGATTAGAAATAGGGTGCACAATTTTGGTAAAGTAACTGGTGGAACAGTGTACCAAGGCTGTGGTTGATGTTCCATCACTTGCGATTTTTACATCAAGACTGGATGTTTCTCTAAAAGATCTGCTCTAGTTCAGTTATATTCAGGAATTATTTTCGAAAGTCCTATACCTTTGTTTTACAGGAGGTCGAACTTCATTATCACAATGGTCCCTTCTGCACTTATAATCTATTAAATCAGCCAAAAATCAGACCTGTCATGTGTGTCTGTCTCTAACAATCTACAGAAGTACATTTCTCACCAAATCAAAAGAACTCAAGTTCAATTAGCAGTGAGTTTTTAATAAAACATAAGAAGATAAGACATCTTTATGACTATATCATTCTTTCCGAAGCAGATGCTCAGAGCTATGGAAAATAATAGAAAGCAATTCATTGGTATTCATATCACATTAATATTTAACATTAATGCTAATATAATTTCAGTATTAGACCTTTTTGCTCAACTTCTGTTGTTCACTTACAACTTGTTAGTACCTGGTAGTTCTGCAGACTATTAGGAGTGAAATACGATGCATCCTGTTTCTATTTCTCTAATCTGTCTCGAATGTTCTACTGGACAATATTTTTATCACCAAATCAGGAGAAATCAAGTTCAATTAGCAACAAGTATTTAAAACATCAGAAGATAAGATCTCATCATGACTCTTTCATTCTCACTGAAGCAGATCATAGACTCATAGAGTCATAGGACTGGAAGGGACCTCGCGAGGTCGCCTAGTCCAGTCCCCTGTACTCATGGCAGGGCTAAGTATTATCTAGAGCAGAGGTGAGCAAACTACGGCCCGCGGGCCACATCCGGCTTGAGGAACCCTCCTGCTTGGCCCCCGAGCTCCTGCCACGGGAGGCTAGACCCCAGCCCCTCCCCTGCACCCTCAGCTCACTGCACCGCGGGCACAATGCTCTGGGCAGCGGGGCTGTGAGCTCCTGGGGCAGCGCAGCTGCAGATCCGGGGCCTGACCCGGTGCTCTGTGCTGCGCGGTGGCATGGCTGGCTCCAGCTGGGCGGCACGGCTGCCTGTCCTGCTGCTCTGGGCGGCTCGGCTGTAGCGCCGCCAGCCACCGATGCTCCAGGCAGCGCTGTAAGGAGGCAGGGAGCAGGGGGGTTGGATAGAGGGCAGGGGAGTTCGGGGGCGGGCCAGGGGGTGGGGTGTGGATAGGGGTTGGGGCAATCAGAGGGTGGGAAACAGGGGGGTTGAATGGGGGTAGGGGTGCCGGGGGGCAGTCAGGGGACAGGGAGAAGGGTGGTTGGACGGGGCAGGGGTCCTGTCGGGGAAGTCAGGAAGGAGACGGGGGTTGGATGGGGAGGCAGGAGTCCCGGGGGGGGGGCCGGAGGGGGGCAAGAGGGGGGGGGGGGGGGGGATGGGGGGCGCGGGCCGGGCCACACCTGGCTGTTTGGGGAGGCACAGCCTCCTCTAACCGGCCCTCCATACAATTTCTGACACCCGATGCAGCCCTCAGGCCAAACAGTTTGCCCGCCCCTGATCTAGACCATCCCTGAGAGGTGCTTGTCTAACCTGCTCTTAAAAACCTCCAATGATGGTCAGAGCTATGAAAACATCAGTGCAAAGCATCTCGTATTTGCATTCATATCAAATGATAATTGACCTTGATGTTACTGTAACAATGCTGAAGTAGTAACATTATATGCTCATCAATTTTTACGACCAGAAGGCACCATTAAGCCTAACTTCCTGCAATAACACAAGCCAGAGAATTGCTCCAATTACTATCAGCATTAGTATGAGTTTTGATATCTGATCAAACTATATTAATCATCCATAATACATTCTCATTTTAAATTCCCAAACAGCAAACTAACAATACAACTTTTCTCTGGACTTCTTGAATATACATAAAGCCAACACAACTCCTATTACAACTCACTTAAAATCAACACAATAATCTCTAAAACAGCCAAGTGGCCATACACCAAATAATTCAAAAATACTATTAAAACCAAAACCATTTCTAGCCCCTTTTTGCAGAATGCCTACGTTGTCCATTCATGAGCCTTTCGCCTGGAAATATCAGTCATACATTTCATGTTTTCCAAAGGAATACAATTATACTGTAACTTGATTTTTTTTTAATTGATCGCCTTCAAAAACTCAGCTTTCTTGAATCCTCAGCTAGTGTAATTTGGCACTGCTACATGCAAATCAATGGATCTGTGCTGTCTTTTCTATGATGGTTGAATTTGTGGCCCAAAATCCAGATTATTTTTCATGGTTTATGTCTTTTATTAATTAAAATAGTTTTTCCTTCTCCCCCTATGATGAATCTAAAGGTGTTTAACCAGTTTCTGGCATGTTATTAACTAACTGTAGATGGGCACAGTGAAATTGACTTCACAAAGTGCTGTCAAATGTAGAAATGAACTACATGGAAAAAAGGAAAAAATGTTTTCCTGTCTCTCTCTCTTCTCTCTCCCGCCCCCATATTCATTCAGTTTTATGGCTTGATCCTGAAAACATTTTGGCCCGGATTCTTCTAGCTGATTTCTGTGGGCACAGAGGTCTGCCAGGATGAAACAGGCTCTCAGGCAGAAGAATATCATTCCTCACAAGACCAGTCTCATCAACTTAGTAGGATCATTTATGTGAGTGGAATTACACCTCTATGTAAGTGTTTGACCTTAGTCATCTTAGGTGTTGTTTGTAACAATAACCAACACCGCACTGGAAAAGAGCAACGTCAAGTGCTCAGTGTCCCTTAAGCACACATGAAAAACCGAGAATGAAAATACTTACAGCAGGGCTGCTGACTCTAATCCTTGTGGTGATGCCATCAACTCCCCTTTTAACAAAGCCCCTCCTGAAGCCAGAAAGTCAGAAGAAATCAGAAGAGCAGGCCTGACACACCACCAAGAAGCCTTCCAAAGAGCTGCCTCCCCCGAACTGAAAATAAACGATCAGATTCTGCTTCTGATTTTTGCTCAGATATTGCTCCCAAGGTGTAGTAAGGTCTCCACCGACTAAATCTGGCATCTCTTGCGGAATGCCCTGCAAGCGCTGTGTTTTGGCATGCTTTTGCCTTGAAAAGAGTCTTTTAATTTGGGTGGAGCTAGAGTCACTGCTCTTTATTCTCCTAATAAGGCCTGTCTGTGCTAGGATTTTTTTTATTGTTTTCCATCAATGTATTATCTCTAATGTCACTTCACTATAAGAAGCCACAATTCCGCATGCATGGAAATAGCCATTCCATTTAAACACAAGGGCTAATTGACCACACTCCCCTTGGAGCCTCATTAATTTTTCTTATTATGGGTTGTATGATGACAACAGTTCAGTTACTAATCCAAGGAAGGCAAGCACACTCGTTAAAGTTAAATGTAAATTTTACCAGTGACTCCAATGGACACAGAATCAGGGCCTAAAGCATGAAGTTCTGAAGTGACTTTCAGTGGAATTCAGAGAGTTAGGCCAACATTTATCCTAGGAACTTATGAGAGAGAGAGAGGTGCCAAATGACCCTGTTTCTAAAGCCCATGGGAGTTAGACACCTAAATCCCTTGAAGAATCTGGGTCTTAGGCTCCTTTGCAAATCCCATTCTTAAGATAAACATAGGAGTGCAATATCTAGGGTTTTGCTGTAGGAGATTCACCAACGTAGACAGGACTGTGCCTCTTTTAAGCCATCGAAACAGTGTAAGTTCTTGAGAATGGCTGGTGCAGTGGAAGAATGGTCCAGTGGTTAGGGCACTAGAGTTGGACTTGGGAGACCTCTATGCAGTTCCCTGCTCTACTGCAGACTTGGGCAGAATGTTTAATATCGCTGAACCTCAGGGATCTTGAAAATCTCAGCCCTCAGGGATAATGAAAACATTGTGCATTGCATTATGAAAAGATTACAGTTGAAAAACTACACTATGAAAAGGGGTCAACACAATTATTTATCTACCTCAGGTACTTATGACCCCCCCATTGCCATAACATGTGAGCATCTCACAATTTGTAATCTATTTGTCCTCCTAACATCTCTGTGAGGTAGGGAAGTTCTAGTATTCACGTTTCAAAGGCACCTAAACAAGACAAGCCCCCAACTCCCAATGAATTTTAATGGGATTTAGATGCCACTGTGACGGGTTG